CATGACAACTTTACTGACGTGCGAGAACGTACAATCGGCTCTGCAAACAGTTTCCGCAAGTTGTCCCTTCTTGAAAGTTGTGTTGCTGTATTCGCCATTGAGGTTTTTTGCCCAAAGCGCGTGTGGGTGCCTTCGTTCTGTCTTACTTAGTGTCCATCAACCAATCAGAGAAGAGGCTAGACTGATTGGCTTCGAGCTCTCGCGAGGCTAGATACATGTAATAACCGGTCTCGGAGGGGCTTCATAGTTCGCTGCCTCGTCTGTACCTTCGTAGGATGCCTGGGGTGTTATGTCCTGTTTCTGTATGTCTTTCCCTTTTTGGATTTCATCCACACCAGTCTTCACGACATTCATAATCGAATATGATAATCCAATCGTACGATAAACTAAGTGGTGGCATGATAAGTGTTTATTAGGAGAAATGAAGTCAATCTCATAGGCACACACAGAAGAAGGGGAATCAGTTGGTTCAAAGCGACGTTATATTCACGGTTGTCGGGGCAGAGTGGAGTTGGGAGCTGCCACCAGGGAAGGGGAATCGGATTCCTCACACATCCTGACTGGAAAGAGGTTGAGGAAGACAGTCTTACGCCGAGCACCGCTACACGCAATTTCAGCGTTACTAACTATTAAAACAAAAGGGTCCTACTCCTTCATTCTGCCCGCCACAAACAAACCTGGCGCGGTTGCAGCAGCGAATTGACAGGGAACGCGAGGTGGACATAAGGGCAGCAGGCCAAAGCGACGGAGAGCAAGGAAGCGCAGACTGCCACAAGCCCAACACTTAGGAATCAACAGCGCTGGACCTCAAAGTGCCGCCAACAGCTGTGCTCCACGTGGCACTACAAATACTTTGAGTGATCATATTAAAGCCTTATTTATACCCTGGGAACCGGCGCTATCGAGAATTCACTGTTGCATTCTCATGGTGCTGATATCAAGTCAACAGTGGTTACGGTCTGCGCTCTGACACTTGCAGGGGCTTTCCATGAACTATTTCCAGGTACGTCCCCATGCTTGACCTCGGTGCGAGTGACGAGGCCCCTACTCAGGCGGAACCGTCACGCGAATAGGGAAAAACGTGCAAACCTTGTAACGTCAAACCCCTTTGTTGGCATAAATAACTGACTTCGACGCCTTAGTGCCCTGTTCCTCAGACGGTTATTACGCTCAAACCAGGTCGACAGTATATGTACCTGTCCAAAGCCGCTCGGGTAGCCCGATGTTAGAGTCCCACGTAATGCTTGGCGCTGGAGCCGGTAGTAAAAAGGATTCTGTCCATGCTTTGTGACAGACTAAGTTATATAAGGAACAGGAAATAAGAAACTGGAAGCCTAAAGGCTATCGCAGTTGCAGCGAGCCTCTATCTATATGTCCCCAACAGTCTTGGCGAACTGGTGCTGAAGACAGTCACCTCTAAGACCCTTTAAGTACATGAAATATGGCTTGAAAACTATCCAGTACACCTCTCAGAATGTGGTA